CATTTATGTATTGGACATGATCCCAGAGAGTAGTAGTTTGTTTTATGCTGATCATCGTGAACAAACTTAGTCTCAGTTAATTACTGCATTCTCCTAGCCCATATGGTATAAACAGGCATGAAGGATTGTTATGCTAAGCCCTGCAAGTGGACTACTGAAGTGCGTACTATTTAGATTTAGATCCCTCGTGTTGACCAGATGATGAAGTTAAAGCTTCACCCGCGGAAATGCCATGCCTCCGACATAATAATAATGAGATGAACGAGAGCTAGCTTCGGTTTATAAGATATTAATTAATTCTTGATTGTCAGTAATCGAATTAATTAATGAACATTATATCTTAAACATGGGGTGTAATTCGAGTAATTATAATTGGAGTCTCGAATATAATTTTGAGGATTATAAGGGAGTTCAATAATGTTATCGTTAGTGGACTGAGACATTATCTAAGTATTGGCAAGAGTGGGTTTAGCATTAGCTCACAGCCAATTCTTAAGCAGCCCCAATCATCATCTCTTTAGGATCCCTACTGTAGCTCTATAAATACATCATTAAGCTCATAGGATTGAGACACACGAGACGTAATGTGCAACACTTTAGTCTCTCCCTCTCTTTATCTCTCCAATTCCCAAAGTCGAGCTCTATCTTCGTCTTATTGTTCCACCGATAAAATTCAAAGAGGTGTTTGAGTTATATAGTAAGATATCGAGGTACCGAGACCCCGTGATCATCGCCCGACGATCAACCCCGTGACCGCCGGCCACCCGATCACCGTTGACCGCCACAGCTTGCACGCAACTGACGCCACCGCGAGACGGCGCAACCAATCGCACGCGAGTCGCACCCTACACGCACGCCGCGACGATCCTGCAGCCCCAGCGACCATCGTATGCACCCTGTCAACACTGCAGTGTTTGTAGTATTTTTGGGCATGTGATAACCGAGCTACCCGACTCAGGTCGTTCTCAAATGAAGGTTATTCGGAGCTTCGTTTACTACCTAGTTGTCAAAGTCAAATAACCGAAAAAAAGGTCTTAAACATTCTACTCGCTTGAAGGGATTGAATTAGACACTACTCGCAATTGGAAATCGAAAGCAATAGAAAACTTGAAATCAAAGATGAGAGCTTTAGGTCCATCGGAGTCTCTATCAATCGAATAACACAAAGAACCAAGGGACATCAAAGTAGCCATGTGATTCTATGTGATTAAGTCGAGCTTTCTAGCTAATGACTACGTTTTAAACCAAGATGCACCCTTTACACAAAATAAGCATAAACTAATCCCTAACACACATCGACAAGCAACAAAAATCGAACATTCCTTTATTCAACAAGCAAACTGACATCACTTTGAAACACATCATAAGCAAACACGGGCAAAATTAAAGTAATGAGGATTAAATCTAATTACCCACTCTTCTAATGCATGCTTGAAGAACACCGAATGGAAAAGTTTGAAACTTTAATAAAATGATGTCACCGGGAACTTGGTGGAAAATACGAGTCACAAAGCTCTTAACAAAAGCCACAAGTCTATTTATAGCTACAACACAAACACACACTAAAACGCACACATTTAATCATTTAGCGCTCGTTCGCTAGGCGAACTTGTTCGCTAGGCGAACTGGTCTTGTGGTCTCATGCACACTCGCTAGGCGATGAACTTGTTCGCTAGGCGGACTGGTCTTGTGAGTCTTGTGCACACTCGCTAGGTGGCGAACACGTTCGCTAGGCGGACTGGACTTTCAGATCTCGTGCACGGTAATGACTCGACAACGGCTCGGGGTTTCTTGGAATGACTCATGCTCTCGGAACTTGGCTCGATTCTTCTCTTTCATCCTCCAAAATGGACCTAAAAATTGCACCAAAGACAAGAGAAAATACGCCAAAATACAAACACCAAAGAGAAAATAAAAACACACAGAATCAACTAAAATGGACCAGTTAGACAAGAAAACAAACCTAAAACCGACTCAACTACACACATAAAACACATAAAAAGATGTACATAAACACAATAAACACGTAGCCCCGTGATCCCCACGCGCACCAGCGACCCCGCTCGACGATATTCGTGTGCTCCCGGCCACCGCACCCGACGTGCTTCTGGAGTTCGACGAGAAGAATCCAACTTCCCAACGGATTTTGAGTTCAGACGATCTCCTACAAAGGAAATCTACATCGACTTTGAGTATGAAATTTTAAGCCGCAAGTATTCAACTCTAAATCTCTAGATCCACTGCGCATATATTCATTGTTGTTATTGAATTCGTGATTAGTGCATAGCGAGATCCTCACCGATCCCAAGGCTTAACACCTCATATATCATGAGGACGAAAAAACAAGAAACAAGAACACTAGCAATACAACAACACTAGAACATACAAAAGTTCAACAAGCTACCTCTATAAACAAAAAAAAACTCTTTGCTAGTTCTGTTTTTGGAGAAACATTCTCCTTACCGATCACCCAACTAATCGGCGAAATCTTGTTTGGTTTACTCTTCCCGCTCTTTCTCCATCAAAACAGTAAAATAACATTGATTCTTTATAATATCAAATTTACAACTCTCTTAATCCCGTCATTAAGAGTCGTTGGCATTCGCTCGTCAATAATCTTATATTCAATATAATTTTTGAAAATGCACTAAATTAAACATTTATAAGGTTAAAAACTTTTGGGTGTATGCTACTATATTTGGAAAAAAATATAATAATAATAATAAAAGCATCATTCTCCATTAAATTAAATCATGACTTTTGAGTTTTTGGATGATTGGTTATCTATTTTTACGTTGGTTGGTTAGGAGGTCATCATACCATTAATTATATTAAATGAGAGGAAGACTTTGAAAACAAAATTGTAAAACGCAAGTGAATTTCAATCATCCTCTATCAAGTGAAAGAACTTTTAAGAAAGTCAAACCAACATGTACTACCAAAAAAATTAATGTAAGAAACTATATCTATGCAGACTCGGGATAAATACTTGCTTCATGTGGGATATGGTGGGGGAATGTCATTAAAATCAAACCATACAAAGTCAGACAAGAAAGGACCAAATGCAATTTAGTCAAAATAATAACACATTATCATTAATTACTAAAAGGGCGTTACTATTTACCGCCCCCCTTATTACTAGTCACCGCCCCCCTTGGACGATTTTGCCCTTCTCATTTGCACCATGTCAAGCAGCTCAGAGGTAATTTTTTGTC